TTGGGTCCCACTATAAATCTCAGAATTCCTTCTGCAACTGTTTCCTCAAACAGGGGCCTCTTCTCTTCAGCTGTGGTCTGCACCTCTTGCATAATAATTCAGGCTAATATGCATTTCTGTCAATATACATAATGACCGAGTGCTACGAGTCCCCACAGTATCTCAGTTATACCCCACAGCTTGCCACGACCTGCTTCTCCAGTACTTCAGTGGAAGTTCTTCTCCCTTGTAAGCTAGGTTTATCAGGAATTTTCCAATAGTTGCTTCAGATATTGGACAGGGAAAGACCTCTCAGATAGTCCTGTAAGGAACTTAGTGGTTTTTTGCCTACATTATCCTTTTAAAGTGGCTATGTAAAGATCACAGTTGAGCTCGGTTAAGGACAAACTAGCGAAACATCTCCGCAACAAATACACGCTTAGCGACAAGGCAGTATTGCTCCACTTACAAGTGAAACTGGCTGGAGGGTCCTCCCTCAGTACAGCATTTCCATGAAAATGGTTTAAAATTCAGTCTTTTGGCAACAAAGCACTGCTCTGTTCCAAGACTTGGTGCATGTAAAGGCAAACAAATGCTATCTGCTGATTTTGCAGATGCACTCCTTCAACTTCATTAACTACACCCACGGTGCTGTTACAAACTGCCACTTCAGTGTTTACACACAGCTTTGTTATAACTGCTAAGTTGTCTCATTTCAAAAGACACCTTTCTCACTGAACGTACCTCTTCAGCAGTACAGAGAAGTTTCCCCATTCTGTTGACTTCTGAAGTAAAGGATTCTGGCACAGTGCACTCCTTAATGGGCGGCCTCAGTGTTAAGAAGCTGTCTGGAGCAGGTCTGATGCACTGTTTGACATTCCTGCATGTGATAAAAACATCAACAGCAAAAGAAATAGTATCAAGAGAACATTCAGCTATGCATCTCCTGATTCAAGCTCCACCACCAACTATTTTGTAAAGCATGTACACAGACGATGATGGAGATAGACACGAGGTGTTTACGACTTTCAGAGGAAGACCTGCTGTCTTCACCTGGCTAATGGGAAAGTACAGAGAAGTAAAAGTGAAAATCAGAACAACTGCCTTGTATACGCACTGTTATTTGGTCCACATGTCACAACTGCACTCAGAGACACGTGTTACGTCCATGGCAGCCCAAGCCCTGAGTCCACACAGAAGACTAAAGAACCGTGCAGGTGCGCTGCTCATACCATCCAACCCTCAGCTCTACTAAAAGCCAGCGCACTGGCACCAAAGTGTAGCTGCTGCTTTCCTTACAGAATCATTCTGCCAGAGACCTCTGGAGATCATCTGGTCCAAACGCCTGCTCAAGAAGGGTCACCCACAGCAGGCTGCTCAGGACCATGCCCGCTTGGGTTTTCAAACATCTCCAAGGACAGAGACTCCCCAACCTCTCTAGTCAACCTGTGCCAGTATCTCACCACTCTCAGAGTAAAAAAGTGTTTCCTGATGTTCAGATGGAATTCTCTGGTTTTCGATTTGCACCCATTGCCTCTTGTTCTGTCAGTGGGCACCACTGACAAGGGCCTGGCTCCCTCCTCTTCATTCCCTCCCTTCACATGTTTTTACACATTGGAGAGACACCTTTGAGCCCTCTCTTCTCCAGTCTGAACAGTCCCAGCTCTCTCAGCCTCTCCTTGTGTGCTAGATGCTTCCCTCCCTTAACTGCCTTTGCAGCTCTTTGCTGGACTTGCTCCGGTAAGTCCAAGTCTTCTGTGTGCGGGGGAGCCCAGTGCTGGACACAGCACTCCAGAGGTGGCCTGAGTGGAAATGAAGGATGACCTCCCTCCACCCGCTGGCAAAACCGTTCCTAACACAGCCCAGGATGCTGTTGGCCTTTGCCATGAGGACGTGCCACTGGTTCATGGTCAGCTAGTTGTCCACCAGGACCTCCTTCTCTGCAGAGCTGCTTTCTAGCTGGTCAGCCTCCAGCAGGTACTGCTGCATTGGAGCTGTCCCTCCCCACATGCAGGGCTTTGCATTTCCACTTGTTGAACTTCATGAACTCTCTGCTGAGTTCTCCAGCCTGCCCAGGTCCCTCTGGACGGCAGCACACCCATCAGGTGCATCAGCCACTCCTCCCAGCTCTGTACCACCTCTGAACTTGCTGAAGGCGCACTCTGTCCCATCGTCCAGGTCATTAATGAGGACGTTAAATAGCGCTGGCCTCAGTACCGACCCCTGGGATACTTCGGGACTGGACTTCTTTGTAACTTTGTCACCACAGCACCTCCAAGCTGCGGTACGTGCAGGACTGTCAATCCTATTTTGAGACTGGAAGGCGAACAGTAGCACCAAATCGCATCACGACCCGTTCCTGTCTTCCAGCTATTTCTGACTCTGAGGCGAGTGTACAAACAGCGCCTCAGCATCCCCCAAACTATACTTCGCAACAATCAAATCAGGAACTGTTTCATGCCAAACATCATGGAGGTTTTTTGGAGGGAAAGTTGTAGGGTTTTGTGGTTTTGGTGTTTTAAAACCACAACTTATTTTTTCCTGTCAAATCAACTATTTAGGACTTTTTCACAGGCACTCCTGGCCTCAGCCTCTTCTCAAGTTCAACACCTTCTTCTACCACAGACCTTTAATATTTATCTAATCTCCTGTGTCTGTGAAGTACCTGGATTTAAAGAAAAAGTTGGATTTAAAGTTGGTTGAAGGAAAAAAAAAAAAAGCGGCTGGAGACCTCCCTTTGTATAGCAGCCTGGAGAAATTCCAGAATACCTTGTAAAAATATTATTATATGGACACAGATAAATATATTCAGCAACACAGAAGAAGTTCCAAGAATGAAAGACAGCAAACCTTTCAGAGACAAAGTCAAAGTAAACAGAAGGATATTTACCTCAGACATGGAATTGTCTTGTGAGAAAGGGATAGTGTTTCCTTAGCCAAGCAACTATTGGTTTCACAAGGCATTTTATCTACGAGACAAGAGCATAAGCCATCAGCAACTATAAAAGGAAACTGAAGAGTTTTATGAGTTTACTGTAAAGAGCTTCACCAAACATAAATTATTTTCATTTACTCTCTCACATCATAATATTATTTGTGTTATGTTACTTTAGGATATTTTCAGATTTTTGTACTGGCAACTACAGAAAGCTGCGCACACAAAGTATTGCCAGCCTAAAGCTGAAATAAAAAAGGGTTATCAGGATCTACTACCTAAAATTAGCATTTAAAACAATTTACTTCTGGCAAGCTAAGAGTGGACGTATGAGAACTGAAAGACTGCATCCAAGGCAGCTCTTGTACTGAGATGACAAGATAAATGCCTGGCCCTAGTCCAGCAGCAACGCAAGGATGCAGGGAAGAAACAGAGCTCATACTCAAGTATTTCTAGATGTTACCTAGATATTGTGCCTTCAATAATCTGTACATAAGCCTAGGGGTAGAGTTGCACAGTACACAAGGTAGGGTTAAAAAGAAATGAGTTAATAACTCGATGTCAGCCTTACCAATTTTTATCATTTCTATATCTAGCGCAGAAGCTGCTGGTCTTTTAGATGAACGGACAGAAGTGGTACATGGAGTCTTAAATAAAAACAAAAGAAATACCAACGTGAGTATAACCTGAATGTCAACCAAGCAATCAAAATTCCTGAAATTTAGTCAGCTCTATTATGACTTGGGGACCATGATTTGCTGGTTCAGGTTGTAGCAGAATGCAAACCTTTGCAGGATCTCTGACACATACACTTTAGTTTTTTAAATGCAGGCTCTCACACGTGCAGTGATTAAAACAATACAAGCTTATCGCTGAGTTCTCCTCAGTCAGCCCCGAACCATTCCAACATGTGATAGCTTAGCCCTTGAAAAATATATTTTGTACAAACAAGAGTTACTTTCTCAGGAACAAGTAATTACAGCGTGACATTTTCTTATTCCTCCTATTCTACGGGGCAATAAGAAAAATACGACCACACCTCTGAACCAAACTAGGGAGTCAAGCAGTTCATGACTCATTTCTACAGAGCCAAAGTCCTACAGGAATCTTCTTCTGGACTGGAGGATAACAAACCTAGCAGAAAGAGGTTTATCCAGAGGAATTTTGCAGTTTTTCTTGTACTGTAATGTATTTTGACTACAATTTTGAGAAAGAGAGTAACAGTTTGCAAACATACTAAAACTATAAACTTGAGCAATTGTAAAGCATCTGGAAGACAACAAACATTCAGCTCTTTCCTCAGCCACAAGTGCTAGAGCAGAGTACGTGAACCTGAGTAAGGCAAACCCAGCACAAGAGCTGCCTGCTGTAAATGGAGAAGAACCACCTCCTGCTGTACAGGCTCAGAGCAGGCCCAACTTCCAGATGCATGAGGGAGAGCCGCCTCCTCTTTCACCTTGCAGAGATTCCACCCAATTTCAAAATCCTTGCTAACCTCTTTTGCAGACTTTCTGATTGGAGCGGCATTGCTGACTGCAGCCTTCTGGCATTCACTTCTTGCCTTGGCTGGCAATGTCACTGCAGCAGAAACTTCTTCAACTTTCTCTTTACACTCAGGGATGGCGCAATCTACAAAATCTAAAAAACAAAGACAGATCATATAAGAATATGATTTTAAACGGGATTAGGACTTCTATTTGCATTAAAGCCCATCACCTTAATCCCACCTAAAGCAGTGTGACTCATTTCAAGTTACACACCCTTCTGCCAAATGCTCCTCACCCCCTCCACACGTGCACGTACTCTTGCAGTTTATTATGTGTCACTCGTGTCCAGTTGAGAGCAGCCGCTCGTTGAGGTCTAGAAACCAAAGCTACCCAAGCCTGTTCTTTCCAGCACTAAAGCAGCAGAGACATGCAAGCCCTCAGACGCTATTTCCAAACACCAACAAGCCAGGGCTGTCTACTAAGGGGCTGTGTTAGATTAAATCATATTAGACAACAGCATTTGTTTGAAGATAAGACAATGACATTTTAGCAGACAAGGGCATAGATGGTACCACATTCTTAGAAGCAGATCTGGCCTGCTGACTGAGACGTGGCAATTGCTCCTACCAAGAGTTGGTCACGCTGCTAAAAGGAGGAGGGATAGGGGAACAAGATATCATTTTGACGTATTTTTCAATTGTTTTACGCTCTTAAGCCTGAAAAGCACACTAAGAGTTCAGCAGCCCCTACCATTAAATAAGGGGTAGCATTGTTTGCCAAGCACTAACTAGGAAGCTCCACGTCTCCCCATAGAACTTGTGCTAGGAAACATCATACAGGCTAAAGAGCAGCACTTCTCCGTCTTCACCAGTAAAGACAGAGGAGAGGAAATGTCCATCTCAAATCACGACCAATGCAGCTGGCATCCAGAAGCATCGACATGGCTGCAGGCAGCTGCGTCGTTTTACCCTTAAACACTTTGTGGAGGGGGTATCAGAAAAAGCCTCACCGAAGAAATCACTTCTCTGCCCCGCTGTTCTCTCCTATGCCCGCTGCATCTCCACCCTTCTTTACTCATCCTTCCTCTATCTTTTCAAAATGCACATGCCAAAATTTTCAGATTCAGACTAAAGTGACCCTTCTGTTTTCAATTCAGCTTCCCCCCACCCCCAACCTACTAGCTCACAGAAATACCATTTTTCTCTGCCTGACATTAAAGTTACCTTCCTTCACATCCCAGATTCTAAGTGATTTCCCATAAGACATATGGGTATTTTGAGCTGACTGAGGTACACTGCAAATACAGACAGCAGGGAGCACACAAGCTTTGATTTAAAATACTCTTTCTGCCAACGTGCACGGGCTTACCGCCAGAGAGACCTGGGCTCTCTCCTGCTGGCAGTAAAAGCACTGTGTCCTGCCTCAGCCAACACTGATAACACCTTAGGTAGGGCCAGGCGCTACCATACACCCTCAGGCCACCAGCTACACAGATGGCCACCAGGGAAGAACGGCTTCAAATGCCACAGTTTCAGCAATAATGCCGAAGTACAAAAGCCAGAGTTTCCTAAGGTACACGAAACCCAAGAAAAATCAGGCACGTCAAATACTTCTGTAATGTGCAATACCTTTTTTTTGCTTTTTTGCTGGAGTCTGGTCAGGATCTTCCACAGGTGGCGAAACGCTGAGGAAAGAACACACAGACAGTGTTTTGCAATCACCCGTAAGCTTCCAGCAGGCTGACTTCCCTTCACAGGGCCCAAACGTCCAAAGTGAGTTTTCATACACCAAAGGTCTCCCCCTCCACACGCCCCTGGGATCATCCCAGACCCCCCCCGCCAATTGCCACTGCTGAGCATCTCTCATCAACCCCCCCACCTCTCCCAGCCAACGCACCGCTCACAGAGAGCTAATTATCCCACTAAAGCATATTAGAACTCTTTTCCTCATTCTGTTAACGCTTCCCAGTGTTCTCCGCGCCCTCCTATCACCAAAAAAACTGCTTAAGTTAATATGTATTAAGTTTGCCTCTTTCCTCAAGGAAAGAAGCATACCAGAAATTACTAAGTGCGTAAGTCACTACACCGAGTTGCAAAGAAAACTCTAAGCAGGACAGCAAATAAAAGGTGAGAAAGCAGCTCTTGCCTACACCCACTTATATAACTTCCTGCTAAATCAGTGCTCGTGAACTAGCTCTTGAAATAATTCTTAGCTGCACCCTTGCTTATGTGGCGTAAGTCCAAGTTTTATACCAGTTGACACCGATGATAAAATCTAGTAAAAATTTTTACTTTGGGAGCAAAGCGCAAAGGTTGTTCCTAGCAGTTTCCAGTTGTTTTCCTATTTGCCTCCAAAAACGCCATGACAGGCAGCAAGGATTTTTTGAAGAGTTCTTTGGTCTTCCTTACACAAAATAATTTATGTGAAACTGTTATGCTCCCGAACCCTGCTGGTATCATCGCTTCTGGACTATCTTCTGTCTGTATCAGGAGCACAAAAAGTAACCGAGATCCTTAATGGCACCTTTCCTACAATATAAAGAATATTTGCTACTACTGTGCTATTAAAGTCAGGCAGAAAATATTGCAGGGTGGCTGTCAAATGCAAATCTATTCCTACAAAAATGCATTCTTACTCAGTTTTACTGTCCGAAATATCAAACATGCTAAGGAAGGAAAAATCCGTGTATCCTCCTGCTCAGTTTTTAGCACGAGCTAACTCGTTCTGAGCTGCTCTTCAGTGAAAACTTCCCAGCATCAGTCTTCTGCAGGGATAAAGCACAACCCAGCCTCCTCCAGGCTACATTCCGAGATAAGCACAGTTTAAATACCTGACTGCGGTTACAATAGCTGGTTTTGAACAGAAGTGACTCTTCCTCCAGCTTTCGCAGAGCACACAACACCCACGAGAGCACCTTTTGTCCTTTTTTACTTTACCAACCACTTGGAGGTTTAGAGTTCATCTGATCGCAAGAAAAGATGAATTCTCTCTTCGTAATTCAGAAACAAATCGGGAAATCTTTGACATTCTGAAGTAGGCACGCCCAGGCAACGCACGTGGGCAAAAGGCAAGGAAAATCTGTGCTCAGCTGCCTCTGTCTCCGATGGGAATGCGCAGCCCCGGGAAAGGGCTGGACTGTGTCGCTGCAACTGGGGTTTCGCCAAGGGCTTGGGAGAAACAGGTAAGCGCAGAGGGTGGGGAGCAGTATTTGAAACACGCTGAACAAATGGGCCAGAAAATAAAATCCACGTAAAGATGCGCTCGTGTCCTTCTCCACGCTCTGGAGAAGACAGCATCTATTTATGCCCAGCATTCTACGTGCCTCCTTAGCAACGACAGGCAAAAATTAAGGTACTGGGAAAACTCAGTACTCTGCACACCCCCATCTACGCTCAGGCTCTCTTCTTTTCAAAACTTCCTCCCCCACCAGCATCGAGGATGGTTCATTAAGAATTTTTTATTTAAATTTGTGAAAAATTCAAATTTTCACAGGCTACCCCCCCCCCAAAAATCACTCGCTGCGCTTCAGTGGTGTGGCACCAAGGGCAGCTAACGCTTATCTACTCTCCCCACCAGTCTCCCTGCCCATGCCCAGAATTTTTCATCTTTCTACCGTGGGAAAAATTTAAGTTGAAGAAATAACAACCACCCTGCGGTTTGGATTTCCTGGATGAGACTCGCGCGGTGGAGCTGGGGACATCTTTTGCCACCG